TGCTTGAGAATAGAGCAAATGCCAAGCTTTTGGCTACCGGCGAGAGAGTTGCTCAGCTATAGACATAGGTTGCCTACTTGAGAGTAAAGTAGAGATAGGCCAAACTTTGGCGACCCGCGAGAGCCGCTCAATTGGAGATATAGCCTGTCTGTTTCAGAGTAGAGTAGAGGCTAAACTTTTGGCGACCCGCTAGAGAGCCGCTCAGCTGGAGATATAGGTTCCTTGCTTGAGAGAAGATCAGAGAAAGAACAAGTTTTTGGTGACCTGCAAAGAGCCGCTAAGTTGGAGACATGGGCTGCCTGCTTGGGAGCAGAGTAGAGATAAACCAAGCTTTTGGCGACCCGCGAGAATGCCGCTGAGCTGGAGAGATAGGTCTATAACCTATTTGAGAGCAAAGCAGAGATATGTCAAGCTTTTGGATATCCGTGAGATGATTCACCTCGCCTGAACCTGTTGATTTCCTCAACATTCATATATTTTTAGCTTTTCCAATAATTTGGCATGTTCTTTGGTGGTCGCTTCATTACTAAAAAGAGCAAAACTCGATGAGCGGAGGCTTCAGAAGAAGACGGTTATGACGACTTTGTCATTGGGCTCCTTGATTTGGAGGACTTCCTCGTTAAAACGGGTGAGGTAACTCCTTAAACTCTTATCTCGATCTGGTTTTATACTGAAGCAGATGAGTGATAGGCTTTTGCTAACGGTGTCCATCAATGAATTGTGTCACAAAGGATCTAGTTAGTTCGGCAAAGGAGCCTATGGAAGCTGGAGTGAGTTTGGCGAACCATTGTCACACTGATCCCTTTCAAAGTAGTTGAGAATGCCCTACACATAATTTCATCGAGGACGTTGTGTAGATGCATTAAGGTCTTGTAGGTTTCGAATGATCAAGTGAGTCCTTTGTATCGTCTAAAGTTTCTATTGGTGGCATTTTAAACTTTTGGGGAAATGGGTAGTTCCCTACATTTGGCACAAAAGGTGTATCAGTTCGCCTTACGAGGTACTCCACTGTTTCTAGTCCTTTCGCCTTTATGGCATTGAAGATGTCGTCCAGTTAATTCTGTACTTCTTTGATTTTTTCATTCCAATGATTTGGGGCTCCTTTGGAATTGTCATGGAAATGACTCCCGTGCTCCACACTTTTATTCTTGCCATCATCCTCTTGGAAATGAGAGTCTCCATCATGGGAAGGGGGAGCTGGAGGAGGAGGCGAAGTTGCCTCATAGTTCTGAGGAGGGGCTCCCTTGTGTGGGGCGCCTAAGGGGGCTCCAAAAGGGGGGCGCCCAAGTGGGGTAGGGGCTCCTAAAGGGGTGTCCAAGTGGGGAGCTCCTTGACCCTCAGGGCGTGGAGCTCCTCTGGCTTGATGTCCTCCAGGCTGTGCTCCGCCTTGTTGTCTAGCGAGCATCAGTTGCAGGATTTGTTGATTCTAAGTTACGAGTTATTGTGTTGTATCCAGTATCTATTGTGCATTTGGAACATGATTGATTGGTGGAGAAGCAATCTCCTCCCCTCGTGGTAGATTATCTTCAGGTTAATTTATGGATCTGGTGGTGATCGCCATAGGTACAATAAGAGATGTACTTAGATGAGAATTTTGTCATTTTCACAGACGACGCCAAACTGATGATGCACAAATTAAGCTTGTACACCATCTGTTAAATGAGCAGTAATAAATGTAATAATTAAAAAGTGAGAGATGGAGACAAAAAGTAAGATAATGATTTATAGTGGTTCGGTTAATGTGACATACGTCCACTTTAAATGACTAGGGTTACTGAAGTATTTTATTACTTCAAGTGTGTAGGGAGAGCAGAGAGTTACAAGCTGAGAGAGATAGGAGAGATGTGAATGCGATGCCCACTAAGTGTTGGCGGGACTTACAATTTATAATTGTCTCATAACAGATTGAGGCGAGTTATTAGTAACTAAATGACTAATCTGGTGGAGTTGACACCATCTTCTCAACGGATGAGGCAGTTACAGTATTCGCTATAAGATTCGGTCAAAGGATAACGTAAGAGTTGACTATTTACAAGGCGTGTGAATGAGACTCTTGGATGACCCTGTTTATTCCCTTAGCGAGCTTGACCGGGTGTGGACCCCATTGGACTGGATACAGGATATTTATAAGTTGAACTTTTAATTTAAACTGAGCTCATAGCATAAGTTGGGCCTGTCCACCAAATATGTATCTCTAGGCTTGGATCGGTATTTCTTAAATAAAAATTTAAGTAATAACAAATAAATACATAAGTAAGGAAAAATGCGAATTAGTCTAATGCGTAAATTAAAAAATTAAATTTACAATACAAATTTTATAAAATAACAACGGAAATTCATGGAAAATTTGCTCGTGCGAGGGTGCTCACCGTTTAGAAGAATTACACGACTAACGTTCCTAAATTTCTACATCTTTACACGCTTCACATTGCATTATAATTGTTTCTCAGACCAAAAGAGAAAGTCCGTGTCGCGTGCCCAACGAATGATCTACGCGCGTAGGTTACCGACCTTCCAATTTTATATCACTTTCCCCACCCAAAACACACAAATCTTTTAACTTCTTCCATTCCCTACTTACCCAAAATAAAAAAAATTCTTCCATTCCCAAGTCTCTTCTGCTACTTCTGGTTCCCATCGTACACACACAAGGAAACACCGTGGATTTCTAATTCTCAAGCTCTCAACAGTGGCCTCTTCATCATCTTCTACAATGGATCGAGTCAAATTTCGAACCCAAATACTAAATAGACACCTCCACCGACCTTCTCTTTCCTCACCATCATCTTCTATCGAACCCTCCATATGCCTCCAGTATTCTCCTCCAGAACTCGCCGAGACCTCGCAGTTCGACACCAGATCAATGAGAGAACTCATGGACAATCACAATTTCGCGGATCGGGACTGGTTGTATGGCCTCATGATACAGAGCAAGCTGTTTTGTTCCAAAGAAAGGGGTGGGAAACTGTTTGTGTCGCCTGACTATAATCAGTCAATGGAGCAGCAGAGAGAGATGACCATGAAAAGAATTGGGTATTTGTTGGATTGTGGGGTTTTTGAAGGATGGCTTACTGGGAAAGGGGTTGAATCAGAGCTGAGGAAGTTTTCGTTCTTGGAGGTTATTGGGATGTTTGATCATTCACTTGCTATCAAGATTGGGGTGCATTTCTTTCTGTGGTATGTTAATTGTTGGAAATATGTGTAATTTTTGGTGTTTATCTGATATCCATGACAATATTGCTCGTTGATTAAAATTGGCTAGGCTTGTAGAGTTATATATCAAATAATAATTATCTACGTTGAGTTGGGAAATTTGGAAAAGAATTTGCCAAATAATTTACTTATCAATTAGGTTCTCTCTCCTCAACGTATTTTAGGGGTGGTGCAGTTCAGTTTTTTGGCACAAAGCGCCATCATGAGAAGTGGTTGAAGGACACTGAAAATTATAAGGTCAAGGGTTGCTTTGCAATGACGGAGTTGGGGCATGGAAGTAATGTAAGGCAGTTTAAGAATTTTTTTTTGGGCGTTTGGCCTATTTGTGGATTTCATCCTTTTTTGTTAGTTTCCTTAATTTTTTTCCGGCTTTCTATTTCTAGGTCCGAGGCATTGAAACAATAACCACATATGATTCAAATACTGGAGAGTTTGTTATTAACACACCATGTGAATCAGCTCAGAAGTACTGGATTGGCGGAGCAGCTAATGTAAGATTCTTCTTTTATGTTCCAAAATTAGCTTTTTTGATTTCTATTTTGCTATTTTCCTGGTTGCTGCTTTAGCCTAAAAAAATTGACATTCTTTCCCTTAATTGCTGTGCAGCATGCTACACACACAATAGTGTTTTCCCAGCTTAATATTGATGGGAAAAATCAAGGGGTTCATGCATTTATAGCCCAGATCAGAGATTCAGATGGAAATGTCTGTCCAAACATTCGTATATCTGATTGTGGTCATAAGATTGGGTTGAATGGTGTTGATAATGGTCGAATATGGTAAAATATAATCCCTTTTTTTTTATTGAATTCCATGAAACAGGCAATAGCTGTCTTTCTAAAGGTTTTTTTTTTTCTTTCCTTATGTCAATTTAAATAACTTCACTATTTTTGAAGGTACTTGAAATTAGGCTTTGTTCTTTTCCTTTATGTGTATGCTAGGTTTGACAATGTCCGTATACCTAGAGAGAATTTGTTGAATTCAGTAGCTGATGTTTCGTTAGATGGGAAATATCTGAGCGCGATAACAGACCCAGATCAGGTTTGACTTACTCTCTTTTTATGAGCGTATAGCAATGGATCTATGTTTTTACCTTTGTCAATTTCTTGGACAATGGGTTACAACTTGATATGTAGCCTTCCCTTTTACACATAGAACCAATAAACCTTGATGAGATTGAAAATTGGTTCCAAGTCTCTAATGTGATTACCTAGAGACTTTATTGGCTAGCTGGGGTTTTAGCAAAGGGTTATTGATTTGTTGCTGAAATGACAATATTCTAAGCTAAACTTACACATGATAATTTGTTTTCAGAGGTTTGCAGCATTCTTGGCCCCGTTGACATCTGGACGTGTAACCATTGCTGCCGCTGCGATTTACTCATCGAAGGTAAATTGCAAAGTGGGGCATTTGTTCAAGGAACTATCTTTCCATGTTTTGTATAGATGTGGGAGAATTGTACTAAGCTGGTTATTACCTATGAAGCACGGACACTCTCGAGAACGTGACGTATCCGATACTTGTTTATCCGTGTTCAAATTAAATGATAAATTTTTAATTTTGGACACGTGTCGGACATTTCTTTGGTGACGTGTCCGACACTTTTTTAGAACGTGTCTACTACTAAACAATAGATATTTGTTGAAATGTGATTAATAAAGTTTAAAAATTTAAGAACATATAATTACTAATACTAGACATATTAAATTTGTACTCCAAATATAATAATAAAAATAAAAGATGCATAAATAAAAAGAGGAATTGAGAAAATGAGAATAATTATTTAAATTATATATTAGGTACACATTGTCTACAAAAAAAAATTCATGATTATTGACTATAATGAGGATGTTTTAGTCTAAAATTTTACACAGATGACTAGAGATTAGGTTTTCTTATCATAAAATACTGATTTTTTATGAATTGTATATCATTATCACTATATTCGCAATAAATTATATAATGTTATATATAAAATATGACTTTTTTGTAGCGTGTTCCCAACGTGTCCGTGTCCTACTTTTTTGAGAGATGTCGTATTTGAGTGTCCGTATCGTGTCGTAGCCATGTCCCGTGTCCGTGTCCGTGCTTCTTAGGTTATTACTAACACTAATTTTGTTGATATCTTATCTTGTTTGTTCTCTCATCAGATTAGTTTAGCCATTGCCATAAGGTACTCATTGACGAGGAGAGCGTTTTCTGTTTCACCTAATGGACCTGAAGTCCTTTTGCTTGATTACCCAAGTCATCAACGGCGGCTCTTACCTCTGCTTGCGAAGACGTAAGTATCTTGTTAATATTATTTACGATTACCATTTAAAAAAAAAAATTATAGCTTTGTTCTAGTAATTAGATGGTATAAAATTACATTGTTAAGGTACATATGTGAGGTTCTGTTCGCATTTGAGAGGGGCAGGTGGTGTAGATATATAGCTACATGAATGCCATACTTTATGCTTTAGAGTCTTCATATTACTAGCAACCCTCATAGAAAATAATGCATTCTTGTGAGCGAGTGTGAGAGGTTAGTTGAAGTACTAGAACCTATTGTTGTGTTAGTTCTGCCCATATCTTATGGATAAGTGGTAGGATACGTCACATTCTCAAGGTTATCCCTGCTTCATAGATGTTGAGCGTTTATCTTCAAGTTTTTTTCTCGGACATTAATGTTGACTGCATACTGGTGGAATCTTTGTTCTCTCTTGGGCCTGACATGGCCTTTAGCATGTTTCAGTCGTGGTAAGGGTGGTCCCAGTAAAAACTCGACATGGGTATTATGAGTTGGTACAGGCTTACTACTATATCTTCATTCCGAATCCACATTCTTTGGAAGTGAAAGATCCCTGGCGTGCGAGGCTTAGAATCTCTTAAGGAGATTACTAGAAGAGAGTGATCAGAGAATGCTCTGGGCAAATGGTCCACTCTGGTGGAGGCAAAACGGGGGCGCATTTCGATTAAACATGTTCTCTCCTCGATGCCTATACACCTTATTGCAAGGATTCTGGCTCCAAAGGGAGTTCTTGACCTAGGTAACATGGGTAAAGGCACCCACTGACTTGATGGAGGCAACAATTTCAACGGATATTAGAGATGGGCAACAATTTCCGGAACTATAGGGTGCATGCTATTTAGGAGGCATATTTCCACACCAAAAAGTAATATATTGTTTAGTTTGATTGTTTGACAAAGGAGACATGAGTCCTGTTCTTTGAGATGTCCCTTTCTGCTAACCTGTTAGCAAGTCAAACTGGTCATGCTATTCCTGCCATGATGAACTCATGGTTTGTTCAACTGACTGTTGCTATACTAACTCATTGGTGTCCTGTTTCTGCTGCAGATATGCTATGAGTTTTGCTGAAAACTACTTGAAAATGTTGTATGTTAAGAGGACACCTGAATTGATCAAAACCATCCATGTTGTTTCTAGTGCATTCAAGGCTACTTTAACTTGGCATAACATGCGGACCCTTCAGGTTGTAAGCCACAATTGTTGTTAGGATATTGGTTGTAGTCCTGGGAAGCTTTCTTACTGATGTTTTTCTGATGTATGAATTAGGAATGTCGTGAAGCCTGTGGTGGACAAGGTTTAAAGACTGAAAATCGTGTTGGTCATCTGAAAAGTGAATATGATGTGCAGTCCACTTTTGAGGGGGACAACAATGTTCTTATGCAGCAGGTATTGCCAGAAAATGTTATTTACTATGAATATTTGTTCAATGTTTGTTGATTGTTGACATGAAAGTGAAACATAAACTGGAAATGCAAGTCAAGTGTTGTGTTCTGAACTTTTTTGATGTGTATAACAGTATAAGTCGTAGTCTAACATGCAAAAATACTGAAATCAGAGTGTCCTTTGTTAATGGTTTAAATATTATTGTAGTAGCCAACCTCTATTTTTTGGGGTTAATTATTGGTGTGTTTAATGATGGTGGTAAAGTAAATTTTGAAAGGTCCGCAGTTTGAAGCATGAGTATCATTCAAGTCAAGTTTGTCTTTTTTTGTCTGGAAGCATTGATATTTATGGATTTTGTGACTCAGGTCAGCAAGGCACTCCTTGCAGAATACGTAGCTGCCAAGAAGAGGAACAAACCATTTAATGGATTGGGATTAGATCACATGAACAAGTCCTGTCCTGTTATCCCATCTAAGCCAACAAGTTCTACCTTGAGGAGTGTTGAGTTCCAGGTAACAAAGCTTTTGTTTCTATGTGTATTTTAGATGCATGAGATTAGAACAGCTGGGAAGTTGTCACCCTTGTCTGTTTCAGACTAATATATTCTGTTTAAGAGAGCGAGATTTATTGAATCGTTTTGCCGCGGAAGTTTCACAACACCAAGGGCAAGGAGAAAGCAAAGAACATGCGCTCATTGTGGTGAGGATGTCGATTGTTATATCATTTGTCATTCCTAAAGCCCACACCCCGTTCTCTCTCTCTCACAACTTCTTGTTCGGTATTTTCCCAGAGTTATCAGCTTGCTGAAGATTTGGGGAGAGCTTTCTCAGATCGAGCGATTTTGCAAACCATTTTGGAGGCTGAGACAACTTTATCTGCAGGACCATTGAAGGTATTCAGAAATTTTTTCCTACTTTGTATATTCATTGACAATTTTGTATGATACAAAGGTGTACTGTTCAAATGTGTTGAGTTGTGCAATGTGAATGACATTGATAGAAGACACCGAAAGAATTAGATTTCAGTTGTACTAATAAGCTGTAGCTAGATTTGATATAGCAGTTGATAACGTATAATGGATTGAGCGTAACATCGATTCACTTATCCAATATAAGAAAAGGATTTAGAAGATTAGATTGTGGCTCTAAGTATAGCCACTTATATTTTTCATAAGAAAATTATTTGGTATCTAGTCCAATGTGGCAGCCAATTTACATTGAAACAATCACAAATCTAAACTAGGAGTTTCACTGGAAAATGTTCAGTTCTTTTATTTGCTGGAACAGCAATAAGAAATATTTATTTTTCTTTCTCGTTTCGTTTGTTTATCCTCCCCTCTAAAAGCTGTAGGCTTTAAGTATTTACCTTGTTTTAAGGTTAAAATTCGGCACAATAACTTTGAGGTTGTGTGGTTGTGCCCGAGTTGTACCCTGTCTACCCCTCTTGGACCCTTATTAATGGGGAGTAAATTGAGTATTATTTTTAGTGTGAAAATTCTTTGGTCACTTTTGGTGCAGTGCACTTACATTGAAAAACAACACGATAAAAGTTGTATATGATGGTAGTTTACAATATATTGATCTTTAAGTTCTGAACGTTGCAGAACATATTAGGTCTGCTGAGATCCATGTATACCTTGATCACCTTGGAAGAAGATGCTGCATTCCTTCGATACGGGTACTTATCAACAGACACCGCTGCTGCTGTTAGGAAAGAAGTGGCTAAACTCTGCAGTGAACTCAGACCACATGCACTTGCTTTAGTCAGTTCCTTTGGCATACCTGATGCTTTTTTGAGTCCTATAGCTTTTAATTGGGTCGATGCAAATTCTTGGTCTTCAGTTCAAGACTAGCCTGGTGGTGATCTACTGTTTTCTGTCTATGGAGTTGTGGGGGGAATAGGTGTAATGTTAGTTGCTTTCGTTGTTTCAGCCAATAATAAATAGTAATTTTGTTCTCGTAATAATTGTACAACATCCTCTTTAATTTTTAATCGTAATGTATCAATTTCGAAAATACTGTTTTAAAACTTTATTGCCTCTTTGCATAAGTTTCGAACGCTTTTACTGGGCTACTGTTATTTCCATAAAAACAGGGGTTTAATTCACATTAAAAGTGTGGGTCAAACACACGCTTATGCAAGCAACCGTATATTGAGATATTAGATTTTTTGGATAAGTAGATTGAGATATAAGTTAGAAACCATTGTAATCATAGAATTAGGTATTAAAAGAATGGTTATTTGGGAAACATAAATTCAAATGTACTTGTGTACTTTATTTTATCTGTTTTAGACGTGCTTGTTTCAATTGATAGAAACTCTACTAGTGTTATATTCAACACTACCTGTTTTTTAAGTCAGGATAAAAGAGGATGGTTGTATTAGGTAGTCGACAGCTAGCATAAAATTTTGTTAGATCTATTATGATAAGTCCAAACAATGATATATGCGTTAATGCTATGTCGCTTCCCATAAGTGACACATTGCACCTGTCTCCGGTGTTTTGAAAAAATTAGGGGCGTTGCGCCTACATCGGGGTATTTCAACAAATAAGTTAGGAAGTTAGTCCACAAGAATAGACTTAAATTAGCAACATGAAACATAGATACACTCATTGGCAAAACAATGGAATGAGTAGACATTATGAGCAGGAGAAAAATTATTATAGCATGCTTACAAGAAACTAAGTGGCTAGGTGAGAAGGCAAGGGAGATAGAAAATATAAGATTTAAGATTTACTATACAAGAAATGATAGACGAATAAATGAAGTAGGAATAACTGTAGATAAATGCCTAAAAGATAGTGTCGTAGCAGTGACAGGGAAAGGGGATATGATTATATCTATCAAATTTGTAGTCGGAAAGAATATAATTAATGTGATTAGCGCTTATGCACTCTAAGTAGGGTTAGAGGAACATATTAAAAATAATTTTGGAAGCAAATTGATGAATTAGTTCAATATATACCTATAGGAGAAAATATAATCATAGGTAGAGATTTCAATGGACAATGTAGGAAAAGATAGAACACAATATGGGAGGGTTCATGGTGGTTACGGATATGGTGATCGAAATGAAATTGAAGAGAGTATTTTAAAGTTTACAATGACATATGACCTTGTAGTAGCAAACACCTTATTTAGAAAACGAGAAGAACATTTAATAACCTTTAAGAGCAGACCAAACAAAAGTCAAGTATACTACTTCTTAAGTAGAAGAACGGACCGATTAACATGTAAAGATTATAAGGTCATTTCAGGAAAGAGTTTAACATCTCAACATAGGCTAACAATTGTAGATTTATTTGTTAAAGGACAACATAGAATAAGGAGAAGCAATAGAAAAACAAGAACGAGATGGTGGAATCTAAAAGATGACAAACTAGCATTATGGAACCTAGAGGATGAGACTAATGTTATGTGGAGTAGGATGACGGAAGATATTAGAAAAATTTCAAAAGAGGTTCTTGGGGAGTCAAATGGTAGAGGGCTTGTGAGAAAAGAAACTTGGTGGTGGAATGATGACATACAAGATATAGTCAAAGTAAAGAAAGAATTCTTTAAGAGATAACAAAATGATAGAAATAGAGAGAACTTCCAAAGATATAAATTAGCTAATAAGGAGGTTAAAAAGAGGGTAAAGACGCTAAGTTAAAAGCCTACAAAGAGTTGTACAAAAAAATTTTTTTTTTTCTTATTTTTTTGGGAGTGGGAGTGGGAGTGGGAGGGGGAGGGGCGATGGGGGAAGGGGGTTTGAACCCTTGATTTCAAGAAGGCAAAACTATCACAAAGTAAGGAGCACCATTGGACCAAATGTCCATTGGTGTTGTAAAAAAAACAAGATAGTAAAGAGAGAGATAAAGACAATTACAAACTAGCTAAAATTAGAGAAAGAAAAATAAGAGACTTTAACCAAGTTAAGTGTAACAAGGGCGATGACTCAAAAGTTTTAGTTAAAGATAAGGAAATAAATGATTGGTGGAAAGATTATTTTGAAAAACTATTAAATGAAAATCACTTAGGAAACTTAGAAGAGATAGAAAATTGTAGAATTCATGAAACATTCTTTCGTAGAATAAAGAATTCGGAGGTAGAGTTTGCATTGAAAAATGAAATTAGGCAAGACTTTAGAATCGGATGAGATTTCAATTAAGGTTTGAAAGTGCTTTGGGAATGAGGGGGTGTCGTGGCTAACAAAATTATTCAATATAATTATTAATACTAGGGAAATGCCCGATGAATAGAGAAAAAGTATTTTAGTATCTATCTATAAAAATAAAGGAGATATTCAAAATTTTAAATAATTATAGAGGGATAAAATTGATGAGTCATACGATGAAATTATGGGAAAGAGTCATTGAACGTCGTCTAAGAGTTGAAACTACAGTGTTGGAAATTCAGTTTGGGCTTATGTCGGGTAGATTAACTATGGAAGTTATATATTTATTGAGGACTCTCATAGAAAAGTATAGAGATAAGTAAATTTTTCATATGGTATTTATAGATCTACAAAAAACGTATAATAAAGTACCTAAAAATATAATATGGAGGGTGCTTGAGAGAAAATTAGTGAGGAATAGGTATATTGAGGTGATAAAGGACATGTATGACGGGGTTATGACTAAAACTACGTCTTCCGTGAGGGAAAGTAAAGAATTTTCAATCACAGTAGAATTACACCAAGGATCAGCCCTAGGTCTATAGCTATTCGCCCTAATTATAGATGAACTCACAAGGCACATTCAAGATGATGTCCCAAGGTATATGTTACTTGCAGATGATATTGTATTAGTAGATAGAACTCGAAGGGGAATTAACAATAATTTAAAAATTTGGAGAGAGACACTTGAGTCGAAAGAGTTTAAAATAAGTAGGAGTAAGACTGAATATATGCAATGCAATTTTAGTAATAGAAGAAGTAGACATAGTGAAAAAGTTACGATTGAAAATTAAGAGATACCAACGAGTAAACAATTTAAATATCTATGATCGATCATGAAAAATGATGGAAAGATTGAAAATGATGTAATTTATAGAATCAACGCCGATTGGTTTAAGTGGAAGCAAGCCTCTAACATATTATGTGATAGAAGAATACTAATAAAATTGAAAGGTAAGTTTAACCTAATAGCTACAAGGACAACAATGTTGTATGTGATAGAATGTTGGGTAATTAGGTAACAACATAGTGACAAAATGAGTGTAATAGAAATGAGAATGTGAAAAAACTGAAAATGATAGAATAGGAAATGATCGTATTAGAAAAATGGTAAGAATAGCTCCAATTGAGAATAAATTAAGAGAAAATAGATTAAGATAGTTTGGTCATATTCAACGGAGGCCAATAGAGGCACCGGATTGAAAAAGTGAAAGAATTTCTTTTAATGGTACTAAAAGTTGGGGTAGATCTAAATTAACATGAGACAAAATAATAAAAAAAAATATGAAAATATTTAACTTAGATGAACGTATAGTGCATGATCAAAGTGAATGACGAAGATCGACTAATATAGCCGACTCCAAATAATTAGGACATAAAGTTTGGTTTGGTTTAGTTTTATGTTTCGGTTGATAGACTTGGATAAGGTTATGGTATCGATGTTGATACCGTGTCTTTTTCAATTTTAGCCATCAATTTTGAATTAGATGATTTGTAATCATTGATTAAAACAGTGATAAAGTAATAAAAAAAATCATAAAATAAGAAAAGTATATACATGGTGCATTCGAATTGGTTGAAAAATAAGCAAGGTAACAAAAAGTACATCCTAACTCAAAGAACATCTTATTTTTTTTATCAGTGGAAAGTTTCTGTGGCACTTCTGCTAATGTTGCTTTCAAAAAGGGGTTCAATTTTTTGACAAACGTGTCCTGATTGCTAAATTGGTTGCCATGAACGTGAGGGATTCACATCCACTCCAATACTGGCATCATCCAAAATCCCTTATAATGTTGAAATAAAATTCAGTAAAAGTACAAAGACATGACTGGGAACAAGATTTCAGTATTGAAACAAGAGTCATAGCTTCCATACTCATCAAGGTAAAAATTAACAAACTAAATTACTAATCAATGAGGTCAATTAGGGTCAATACTAAAAAATTAGGATTTTTTTTTTGTCAAACAGAAAGGACAAGTTCGAACTTGCAACTTCGAGATCCAACCTGCTAACCTCCTGAAAATTAGGATCAATTTCAAGTTTTTAGGATCGGTTCTAATGCTTTCAGGATCAATCCATATAATTTTCATTTGCTTAAGATATAACCCGACTTATCTAATTGAGTCTTTTTTATTTTTAGTTTTTAATAAAATACCAAATTTGGTGCAGTCAACTTAATGCCCTGTGACCACTCCCTTAAGGTGGGGAAGAATCATGTCACAGGCGTGATGTTCACCTTATCATATCAGTCATCTCTTGCATGGGTAAGAACTTAAATTTTCTCTCTTAATGCTTGTGTTCGAGTCGCCACAATTATAGTAGTTTGGTAGGGCTAAACCTACTCTTCAGCGTTCAGAGCATGCGGTGAGATATTAACTTCGGCCTCATTATAGGTTCAGTAGAGTCTCTTGCAAATAGATGTGTGGTGTTGAAGAACAATACTTTCTGACAAATATATGAAATGACATATCTTCATATTCATTTTCAGCACAAAAAAATACTAATGATTAGATAAGGTTATGCATATAGTAGTGAAACACAACGTCTTCTTAGTTCTTTAAGCTTCTGACAAGGGCCGAGCTAGGATATTCTTGTAGTGTGGTAACCTATAACTCATTAATTAATTCTTAAAATCATAATGCTAAGATTACTTTCACAAAATATTGATTAATAATATCTTTTAATTGACAGATCTATATGGAAGAACTACATATCGCAGCGGAATAAGATCCTACAATGTCATTCAAGCCTTAGAACCTGGTAATTCTGAAATTCTGATCAAGCACTCACAAGAAAATCAAACACTTTCACTAATACTTTATGGAGATGTGGGAAAAAGGGTGTCTAGCTTGGTCTAAGTTAATTG